CCTGGCCCCTGCCGGCTGCTCGCTCCGCCGTGGCTCCACCGCGCCGCGTGCGCCGAGTCTAGAACTTTATTCCCCCGCGCGGCACGGCGCGGCGCGGTGGGGTCCACATCCATCAAGCCCGTTTCCTGATCTACTTTAGCCGTCAACGCCTGGCGCCCCCTGCAGGCCAAGCAGTGCGCGAGGCTGCTGCTCCTGCTCCGATTAATGATGCCTCCAGTCCGCGGTGGCGGTCGGCACGGCACGTCGGCGCGGTGCAAGCTCGGCCTCACCCAGACGTGGCGCCGGCTAACGATATTACTCCAAAAGTTAGGCGGCAGCGGCTGTAGCACCGGCCTAGTGCCGGGCCTGCCGGACCTGCCGCCGCGGAGCCCTGCAGCAGAGCGGCCTTCTTGGTGTGCACGGGGAGCAGCTGGCCGCGGACATGCCCGGCAATATCTCCTCCGTTCTCCGGGTTCTCCGCCTCGACGGCTGTGCGGCCTCTGCGGCCTCTGCGGGGAAAGGGCTTTACAGTGGTGCGGTAAATTTGGCTCGCCGTGTGCGATCTGCCTTGCCTTCGGGCGCCACCTGCATTGCGGATTGTCCAGCACAGTGGGCCAGAAGGCCAGCGCCGGCGGCCACAACTTCAGACGCGTTTTCAGCTCTAGAGTGGCTAAATGGGAGCCCGGACCGCCCCTTGCTTCCCTCGTGTCTCACCGAGGTCCTCCCTTTCCAAAAGCCGCTCGTTCGTTTGTGCACTGCCAAACTCGTCCTCGCGGCCCGCGCCCTTCAATTTTTCCAATGATGCTTTTGTTTTTGCCGCGATTCGTTGTTCACCGCGAACCAAGTTTATGTCTGTTCGTCTGTCTGTCTGTCTGCTCGTCGTCGGTGGAATCGGATGCGCCTGCATAACTCCGTTATGTGCTCTGTGCTCCCCCAACTTTCGGCGCAGCGGCGGCGGGGCGAGTTGTGTTGGTGGACGGAAGCCGGACTGGCGCGGGGCTCGCTGGGTTATCTCACAGTACTTTGGGCACATTTGGCCGCCCCGCCCCGCCCCGCCCCGCCGGACTTTTGTCGGAGCCGCGCCGCACTGTCCGCCTCTGGCTGGCTGCTTGGCTGGCTGCTTGGCCGGTCTGCCTCCCGGATAAGGAAGCCCCGATACTGTACGGTGCGTCGTCTGCTACCTCTCCTCCCCGTTTGTCTGGTTTATCATCCGGACGATCGGGAAGGCCAAGTTTGCCGGCGGCGTCGTGGCGGCACGCGTCCCGTCGGCCCGTTGCCTGCACTGTAAGGCACTGCACTGCAAAGCTCCGCCGTCCGCGGCGTTCACGTGGTCGACTTGCTCCAGCAGACTGTTTCCGAGAGTCGTTTTCGTCGCTCTGTCTCTCTCGCACTCCTACGGGACGCCCCGTGAGTGCGAGAGAGACAGGGCGACTCTCGGAATGAGTCTGGCGGTCCGGCCGGGCAGCTCATTCAGGAAATTGACCACTTTAATGATTGTGTGGGCGGCGGCGCGGCGGGTCGGCACGCCGCCAAGTGCGAGGCGAATAGGGCGCAAGGGCCACTGTACAGTGTAGGGCGCCAAGGACGCCGACGGCCAGTGAGGGCTAATGGCCACCAGCAGACTGATTCCGAGAGTCGTTTTCGTCGCTGTGTCGCTCTCGCACTCATGGGCGAAAAAAAAACACGTAAATCGGGTCAAAAATTTCAACCTCCGTTCTTTTTTGGGGGGCGTTTTTTTTAAACTTTTTTTTTTGGTCTTGTAACTTGGACCGTTCATGAGATAATGTCGTCGAGAAATCGTCCAGTTCCGCGCCCGGCCGCCCGCATCGCCGTCGTGTGTGTGTGTGTGTGTGTGTGTGTGTGTGTGTGCGTGCTCCACGCGCGTCGCGCTCCCCGTGGGCCCCGGGGAGTCTGCCGCGGGTGCCCCGAGGGGTGCCCCCGACCCCGGCCCCTCGAAGAAAGGGCGAAAGAAGGGGGAAGCGCAGGCAGGGGGGCCGGGGTCTTATTTTTGTATCGGCCCGGTCCTGGCGCTGCTATCTGTTTCCTTGAGTGCTCTTCCTGTTCTGCATCCTGTGTGTGTGTGCGTGTGTGTGTGCGGGGCGTTACCGCTGCCGGCGCCGCCTTGGCCGTGAGCGCCACGCCACTGCCACGGCTTTGCACTGCAGGGGCACTGTAGGGGTAGGGCCGGCCAAGCCCGCCAAAAGAATGCCCGTTCCAGAGACAGACAGACAGACAGACAGACAGACAGACAGACAGACAGGGGGCGGGGCGTGAAAGTGAGGGGCCGTTGCGACGTTGCGGCGTGCACTTCATCCACACGTGCGTCTGCCCTACAGTCCCTACAGTGGTGGTGCGGCCCTAGGCCACGTGTCGCCGTGGCGTCGCGTCACGCGTGCACTGCCTGCACGTGTCACGGCGTACGCGCTGTGCGTGCACCCACGTGCACCCCTTGGTGGTGGCGGTGTCGGCCGACGCACGACCGGGTGACACCGGCACGGCACCGGTGACAGCGTGCCGGGTGGCGCCGGGGTAGGTAGGCAGCCTGCTCGACACCGCTGTCAGTGCGTCTGTGTGCGTGTGTGTGTGTGTCCGTCGCGAGATTGGAATTTACGAGCTTTTCCTCGTCTCTTTTCGAAAGAGCATGAACGTGCTCTTTGAGGTGCTGCACACACACACTCACACACACACACACCAGGGCCGTGCCCTGGCCATACAAGTCGCAGTGCTCGCGCGGCCGGTGTGCGGGCTTTGGCCGCCTTTAGCGCTATAGCGTTATGGGTAGGTCTAAGTACCCTCACCACGACGACGCGGTACGTACCGGCGGTTCGCAGTGTGCCCCGGCAGTCCCGACATGCCAGCGGATTTGATTGCCCGCCTCGCGAGACCAATGCGAGTGCGTGTGTGTGAGTAAAGGTGTGTGTAGGTGTGTGTGAGTGAGGGGAAGCACACATGCCGCCATGCTTGTGCGATGGTTCAATGAGCCGTGCACGGTACCCCTCCCCCTCCCCCTCCCCCGAGTAGGGTTGGCGGCACCGCCTGCACCACCGCGAGGCACCTGGGCGAGACCGCGGCCGGGCCGGGCCATGGCGGCGCTGGCGGGGCTCAGGTTGTGTGCCGTTGCCGCGCCTCTGCAGACTGATTCCTAGGGTCGTCTTCGTCGCTCTGCCTCTCTCGCACTCACGGGGCGTGCCGTATAGGTGCGAGAGAGACAGAGCGACGAAACGACTCTCGGAGGGCGGCGCTTCTTGCACCTTCCCTGCTATTTGGGGCGGGGCGGGGACATCCCCACTGCAATTACCGAGTTAATATTTAATCGGCGGCGATAGGGTCGGGATGTAGGGGATGTCGGGTCCTTTCGGCGCCGTTTCCCGTGTCCCTACACCGTAAGGCGGATAAAAACAGGAAGGGCACATTATCGGCGGCGCATGAGCGCGAGCAGCTTGCTACGGTCTTCTTATTGCAAAGTTGTTCATGGAGCTCCTCCAGAATGTTCGGGAAAGTCTTGGCGCCATTGCCACCTCGTTAATCCTGCTGCACTTGTCTCTCTCGCACTCGAGGGGCGTCGCGTAGGAGTGAGAGAGAGAGAGAAAGTTCGGTCGAAATCGCCCTCCTGGTAAACAGCAGCAGCAGCAGGGGCTCTGGAGGCGCGGGGGGCGAGCCCTGTGTTTTGCGCGCGTATTAACCCCGCGAGGAAGTGGCGTCTCTCTGTCTCTGTCGCACTCGCGGCGGCAGCAGGTGAGGCCGTGGCTGCGCTGCCTGGAGGAGCAGGGACGCTCTTATGCGTCACTTATCTCTGACTTCGCGGCCCATTAGCACTAAGCTCGCGGCGGAGGGGGCGCGCCTCTGTAAATGGGATCCCCGGAAAAGGGAAAACAGGAGAGGCTTGCTGCGCTACACCGTGCTGCGAGGCTTTTCGTCGCTCTGTCTCTCTCGCACTCACGGGGCGTCCCGCTTGGGTGCGAGAGAGACAGAGCGACCAAGACGACTCTCGGCATCAGTCCGCGCTGCGCGGAGAATGACCCCACGTGGCGCCGCACTGTGTCGACTTTCGTCGCCGTTTCGGCTGATTGCTTATGCAGCCCGGATGGCAGTCGGCTGTCGGCGGCGCTCCACCTTTTCATGTTTCATGCATTTTCGCGCTTCGCGTCCTCGTTTCCAAAACGACGCGCCAAAATGCTGTGTACACGCGGCCAGCAGCCTGTCGCGCTTTGTCGCTCTGTCTCTCTCGCACCCGTGGGGGAAGCCCTGTGAGTGAGCGAGAGAGGCGAAACCACGTGACCCTGCTGGCGGCACGTGCAGCACGGCCAGCATGGTGGCCAGCATGGTGGCCAGCAGTGTGGCTGACACGACACTTGCTCGGCCGGAACCGGAAGTGGTTCGCCCCCCCCCCCTCCTCCCGGATCCGATGATCCGGAGCGGGATTGACCACCCTCCGGAAACGCCGCGGCCACCTGGGCACCTGTCAACCTGCAGACCGATTCCGAGAGTCGCCGCTCTGTCTCTGTCGCACTCGCGGGAGCGTCCCGTGGGGGTGCGAGAGAGACAGAGCGACGTCGTCCGGCGTTGCGCAAGAGGCGGGCGGCGACAGGGATGCGTAGAGTTACGCTCTCGGGCGGTTGCTGCATGGACGCAGGCAGTGTGTCGGTTTGCCGTTTGCTGCAAGTGCGGCGCGGCGACCGTGGTGGCGACCCGGCCGGTGCAGCGTGGTGCAGTGTCCGGCTCGCCTGGCTGCCCCACCGTGAAACAAACCGCCGCTTTTACGAAACGTTTTCGCGAGTCGAGTTTCCAGCTGGGATTGCTGCGCTACACTGCCCGGAGCTTGCCCGCGGCGGAATCCGGTCGGAATCCGGCCGGAATCCGGCCGGAATGGCCGGACCGCCGCGTCGTTGGGAAGGCAGCCCAGACACACACCACGTCGCTGTAACGGTTGATCCATGCACCTGGACACCCACTTTGATCCCCGACTTGCAGTGTGGGCGCGTTGACGGCGTGCTGACGGCGTGCCTGTTTGTCTGTTGCAGCCGAGGGCGACCTGACGGCCTTCTCCGCCTTGCCGCGCGACGCGCACTTCCACCCGGCGCACCTCCGCGAGCCGGCCAAGGCCCTGTTCCTGGCGGACAGCCGGCCCGCCGCGGTGCAGCGGCTGTACGCGGCGGCGGCGCGGCCCACCCTGGACGACGACGCGCTGGCCCAGCTGGACCGGCTGCGCAAGGACGGCGCCCGCTCCTCCACCCTCTTCCTGTGCACGCCCACCCTGGGCCGCACGCGCACGCAGCGCCTCCGCAAGAAGGTGGTGGACATCGACATCGAGACCAGGAAGGTGAGTGCGTACGGCGTGCGTGGACTTTGGAGGACTCGGCCGGGACAGTGTAGAGACGTTTCTGGGGCTGTCTCCGTCGCACACACGAGGCGTGCCATAGGGCAGCGGCTCTCAACCTTTCTCGGCTCGCGACCCCAAATTTGAAGCCAAAAATTTCCGCGACCCCCAGGAAAAATTTCGCGACCCCACGGGACCCCTCCTTTAACATGCCACGGCGTCTGATCCGAGGCGGGCATTTTGCTCCCTCAACGGGCAGTTGGTCTTTGGACCTTCCTTTAGCATGCCTTTGTTACGGAGTGCAATTATCAGTCTTAGTTTGGGAGCAGTATTGTCTCAAAGTTGGCCAAAAAGCTCAGAAATGTCTGTGAAAAATCGTGTTTCGGGCTGATTTTAAGCAGTCACAGCGTCTGATCTGAGGCGGGCATTTTGCTCCCTCAACGGGCAGTTGGTCTTTGGACCTTCCTTTAGCATGCCTCTGTTACGGAGTGCAATTATCAGTCTTAGTTTGGGAGCAGTATTGTCTCAAAGTTGGCCGAAACGCTCAGAAATGTCTATGAAAAATCGTGTTTTGGGCCGATTTTAAGCAGCCACAGCGTCTGATCCAAGGCGGGCATTTTGCTCCCTCAACGGGCAATTGGTCTTTGGACCTTCCTTTAGCATGCCTTTGTTACGGAGTGCGATTATCAGTCTTAGTTTGGGAGCAGTATTGTCTCAAAGTTGACCAAAATAGTCACAACGGTTTTTCAAAGACACTTGCGACCGTTTTGATCGACTTTGAGACAATACTGCTCCCAAACTAAGACTGACAATCGCACTCCGTAACAAAGGCATGCTAAAGGAAGGTCCAAAGACCAATTGCCCGTTGAGGGAGCAAAATGCCCGCCTCGGATCAGACGCAGTGGCTGCTTAAAATCGGCCCAAAACACGATTTTTCATAGACATTTCTGAGCGTTTCGGCCAACTTTGAGACAATACTGCTCCCAAACTAAGACTGATAATTGCACTCCGTAACAAAGGCATGCTAAAGGAAGGTCCAAAGACCGATTGCCCGTTGAGGGAGCAAAATGCCCGCCTCGGATCAGACGCAGTGGCTGCTTAAAATCGGCCTAAAACACGACCCCAGCTACCTCGCCGCGACCCCTTAAAATTTTTTCGCGACCCCGCTTGGGGTCGCGACCCTAAGGTTGAGAACCACTGCCATAGGGTACCGAAGGAGTGCGAGAGAGACGGAGGACGCACTGCGTTCCCGTGGCACTGGATAGCACTCCCGCGCGCCTCGTAATTTTTACCTCCCTCAAACAAAAACAACAGCCAGAACCTCCGCGGCTGGCGCGGCTGCAGCGCCAAGGCGGGGCTCTTAGCGTTTGTGCCTTCGGCGTGGGCTCCGCAAGGCTCCGCCAGGCTCCGCAGTCCGCGCACTGCGTTCCCTGGCGCGCCGAGATGGCGGCCGCGACGCTGGTGCTTTTGTCGCTCTGTCTCTCTCGCACCCGCGGGCGTTCCGCAGGGGTGCGAGAGAGACAGAGCAGTCCTCGGGAACAGCTCTCCGGCGCAGGCAAGGCGCAGGCACAGGCTCGCAGGGCAGGACGGGGTAATTGAAAAGCAGCAGAAGCTCGTATTCCCTGTGCTCGGGACGGACGGGCGGACGGACGGACGGGCGTCGGGACGTGGACGACGCCGAGCCCTGCCGGCCCTGCCACAAGTAGACCCCGGTACGGCGGCCACGGCGGCCCAAGCGGTCGTGCCCAAGCCGAGCAAGCCAGGCCGGCCGGCGTCGGCGCGCCTTGACACGCCTTTTACGGCCAGTAACTTCATCTCTGCCTCCTTCGCCTCCTCCACGCCCTCCTTCTCCTTCTTCTCTTCCTTCCCCGCGCCCCGCGCACCAAGTTTGCGCTGCATGCCGCGGCGCGGACCAGACCGCGTACCGGTGCGGCTTGCGGCGAGGACGGCGAGCAGCCCGGGGAGAACGCCGTGGCGGTAGGCAGCACGCCGCGCTGCGCCACCGCGCGGGCGGCCTGCCGGTCGCTCTGTCTCTCTCGCACCCGCTCGCGACGCCCCTGGAGCGCGAGAGGGACAGAGACGGCCGCGAGGGCACTGTTGGGAATGGCGGCGCCGTCGCGGTGCCGTCGCCTCGTGCTCTCAGACCGCCCTGTTCACCTGAGGCTGAGGCCCCCACGACGACGACGGTGATGCCAATTGCCAACCCGCCGAGCCAAACTTTGAAAGCGACCAATTTCTCCCGAGGCTTTCCTGACTTCGGCAGCGGAGAGCGCTTGCTCCTCTCGCTCTCTCTCGCTCGCTCTCGCTCTCTCGCTGCCGCTGCGTGCGGTGGCGCGGCACGGGGACGCCCCAGTTCACCGCGCGCCCGCAAGCAGACTCCGATCCCGAACAGTGCTTTCGTCGCCCTGTCTCTCTCGCACTCACGGGGCGCCCCGCATGGCCCGCGGGGGTGCGAGAGAGACAGAGCGACGAAGGCGCTTGTTCGGAATGAGCCCTCTGCGTGACTGCGCGGCCCCCCTGGCCACGCCGGTGGCTACGCCCCTGGAGCTCGGCCTGCTCGGCCTGCAGCACGTCGAGTGCTTGGTCTGCTGGGCCTGCTGGGTGCTGGACAATGGTGCTCGTGTTGTACTCACTGCGCCTCGGCCAGCCGGGCCGGCCTGCCAGTGGACTGAATCCGAGAGGCGTTTTCGTCGCTCCGTCTCCCTCGCACTCGAGGGCGTTCCGTGTGGGTGCGAGAGAGACAGAGCGACAGGCTCGGCGAGGCTTGGAGGAGGCGGTGTGCATTCCGCCGTGCCGCCGTCTCGCAGCGCAGGGCATGGTGTACAGTGTACGTACCTCTCGGTACCCCCTCCCCCTTTTCGCCGGACCGGTCCTCGAGGACCGGCCTTGCCTCGAGTGCGGAAAGGGACAGAGAGAGACGGACTGATCCGCCTCTAATTGCGCCGGGAAGTACAACTGCGAATCTGCGGGGAAGACACGCGGTTTTCGTCGCTCCGTCTCTCTCGCACCCATACCGGAAGCCCTGTGATCGCGAGAGAGACGGAGCGACGAGAACGACTCTCGCAATCGGTCTGCAGTGCCCTGCCCTGCAAGCTCCCCGCGGCGTAGCGCGTTCTCGGAACTTGGCCCCGCCGCCTGCTCGGTGTGCTCGGCCTGCGCCGCGCTCGGCTGGCCGCAGCAAGAGATGCAGCACATTATCCCTCTGTACTCTGCACTCGGCGCGGTCCTTTTGCGGCCCGGGCAAACAGGCAACCGAAGGCAGCCAGGTTAGGTGCGAGAGAGACAGAGCGACGAGAAGGACTCTCGGAGTCAGTCGACCGGCGACGTCTTTGTAGTGTGCGTGGCGTGGCGGCGTGGCGTCGGGGCGGGGTTGTCCCGTTGCGTCCCTGGGGCCCGGGGCGGTTCGGGGCGGCCAGGGCGCCGCGCCGCGCAGCAAGCACGCTGTCTCTCTCGCACTCACGGGGCGTCCCCTATGCGTGCGACAGAGACAGAGCGACGAAGAAGACTCTCGGAATCGGTCTGCAGCTCGAACGTGACGGCGTCGGCGTGACAGTCGGCCTGGCCGCGTCGCCGCGTCGTCGTCCTGATTGGCGCACCGCACTGGCAGTGACGCCGCCGTCTTGGCCGCCGGGAGGGGAGGGGGAGGGGGGAGGGAAAGGGGTGCCCCCCCCCCGGGCAGATTCCATCAGAGAGCAGCGCAAGCGTCCCTTTGTGTTGTTCCTCCTCGCCAACTTACGACTTCCCCCCTCCCTTCGGCCCTTCGGCCAGGTATGCCGGGATCGCGGGTTGTGTTTTGCTTTTCGTTCACTGCTGCGCTATTTGGTTTTGCTCGCCGTTCCCTTGCCCTGTCCTTCCCTTCCCCCGCCGCCGTGAGGTAGGTGGGTTCTGCTGCGCGCTGCGAAAGGGGAGGGGGGGCGGAGTCTTGCGGCGGCGGCGCGCTCGCGGTGGTCGCGGTCTCCTTGACGCAGCGGAGCAGGACTTCCCCGGAGTGAGGGGTGCGCTTCCAGCGGCTTCCAGCTACGTGACACCACCCTATGGGTGCGAGAGAGACTGCCAACGGTGTGCGTTTGTGTGTGCGTGCGCCGGCAGCGGCGCGTCCCTGACGGGGTTCAGTGATGATTGATTATACGACGCGATGTTGCAAGTCACTGCATCCACTAATGCATGCCGGGGAGTGTTTGGTTTGCGCTTCCGCCAAACTCGACTCTCGCAGCGCCCTCTCGCCCCGGCCGCCAATTTTCCACCCCTGCGACGACGCGCTGCTTGCCCCCAACTCGGATTCGGGATTGTACGTTGTAACCCCCGCTCTGCTCCTCGCAGCCCGCCTCGGTCGTGGAGCTCCGGAGGTGGACGTCGACGGAGGCGCTGGGCGACATGACGGTGCACCCGGACTGCACGGTGCGCATCGCGGGCCGCGACCAGGACGACGTGGACGCCGACGCCTCCCTGGACGCCAGCGAGTACCTCGGCGTGGACTCGACGGTGCGGCCGGGCGACGACCAGGTGGACCACCAGCTGCCCACCACGGAGGAGCAGGTCAAGGCCATCGCGGGCAGGTGAGTCCGAAGCACGGCAAACCTCTCCAAAGACGCGTTTTGAGCTCCAGAGTCGCCAAACAGTCGCCTTCATCCTCCTCTGCCGGCAGGTTCCCCCCGGAGGTCGTCAAGGTGGACGTGACGGGCAAGCCGTTCACGCGGATGTCGCGCCACCGCCGCTCCCTGCTGCACCCCGCCGGCGCGGGCTGCGGCGCGGCCTCCACGGAGGAGGAGGAGGCCAGACGACGGACGCGGCCTCGGCGGCAGCGCAGCCGCAGAAGGAACACCATCGCGGGGACGGACCAGAAGGAGATCGAGGAGGCCCTGCACGGGTACGTCAGACACTTTATTTTTAAAATTGGTGTTGATGTGGACAGTCGTTGACTCCGATTTCCCCCCCTCAGGGATAGGTCTGCCTACACCAACACCACGGCGACGGTGGATGACATCATCCTGAGCAGCAGCAGCATGATCGACAGCCACCCGAAGGGCTCCAAGGAAACGACCGCGGACTTCAAGAAGTGGGCCTTCAACTCGCTGAGGCGCTGGGGCCGCTCCAGGTTCCGGGCCATCGGCAACAGCAACAGCAACACGTCCACCTCGTCCAACATGGTGTCTGGGGAGCTCCACGCGGCAGACCCCGTGGACGACATTAACGTCTATGAAACGGTGGCCGGCAAGCGAAGAGGTAGGCCACTTTCAAAGGCATCAAGTAACTAGTTTTGGTCGACAAGTCTTAACTGATACGCAATTTTTTAAATCTTTCAACAGGAGCAGGCAATATTCCAATTTCAGCTGGTATATCTGGACCAATGTCACTTGCTGTGAAATTAAGAGAGGGAAGTTTAGGTCAAAGGCGGCTCAAGATCAACGATGAACCACCTCACTCCAGCAGTGGCAACTGGAGTGCGTCCTCCGAAAGTGGAAGAGCTTCTGTGAATTCAGACTCAAGCCATCAGCCCAAATCAAGTACCTGGTAGGTGTTGAGTAAATTACAATACTTCAGTACGCATTTCATGTTTTGTAAAATTTCCATTTCTTTTTTCTTTTTAAATTTTGTAGCAGCAGTATATTACCCCAAAGAAGAAGGTTTATCAACAATTCAACTTCATCATCAGTAACATCAGAAGGAACTTTAACTCCTGAGGATATGGCAGCCCTACCATTTGCGGATGATGGCGAAACCAGCTCGGTATGTTCATTTTTTAAACAATCAAGTTAACCTTCTTTAGTTATGACCCTTTCATTAAGATTTGTGCAGTCTTTGATCATGATGAGGTGCAGCTTTATCTCTTTACCCTTTGTAGCTTTCCCCCAGACTTGTGTGCTGCATATAAAATTCTGCTATACCCCTAGAAACAGAATGGGATCGTATTTATTGTATATTTGAATTCTTGTTTGTACCTTTTACCCCTTGTGTCCATCTTGTTTCTGCCATATATTTTTTTTTTTTGTGTGGATCATGGGGTTTCCATTTTTGAAGGGATTTTATGAAACCAAACCACATTGCTCACTCATACTTTCAAAAATATTAAAGTTAGGACAGTATTTTTGTCTGCTGTTTTGTTGGAAACACTTGTCAGTCATTGAAGGAAGTGGACATTTGGCAATTTCACAGGCTGATGATCCTGGAGCTACGCAGTGGAGGCACAACAGGATGGATCTCTCAACCATTCGGAACGAGAAGGTGGCTTATTTCCAACTTCTCATTCTTGTTGATTGCAATAGTGATACAATACATGTAGTTATGACTTGTGTCAGGGAGCACATGCTTTTTTGGCCTTCATGAATAGATCTTGAACTACCCTGTTCTAAGTACACTAACTTTTTGTTGTTTTTTACAATTTGCCTACCAAAATGGTTTTAAAAAAATTTAAAACCAGTACAAAAATTATCACAGCTGTGATCATTAATTACTTTACTTATGTCGAACTAAAACCTGGTAGGTGTGGTTCAGGAGCTACTCATAATCACTTGGAATGGCTTTAAAAAATATGGCATAGTGTGTAGACAAAAATTTGTAGTCAAGTATATCATATTCAATTTTATTTGTTGCTTTTATCGTGCAAAATATTTCAGATCACCTCTTCTAAGGGGGGTTTAGTGTGTCTGATAGTCTTATGTAATTGAGTGCCCAATCACTGCTTTGTATCTATTCTTCAGTGTCTCTTAACATACCACCGGCTGATTGATTTAGTCTAATCAAAATGCATTTCTAAGTTCCTAATTACAGAACTTGTGTAAAAATAATAACTCTTCTGTTTGTGGAGATGCATGTTGTACCACCAAATGTTCTATAGATACTTCTGGCTCTCTACATTGCTTCTTTCATTTGTGGTCTCTGGTCTTCGTCAAGAACCTTTGTTCGTAAATAGTGACTTGCTGCTGTCTCTCTGTGCTGTGCCATTTCCCAGGACTATTTGCATATTTTAGCCTGTATTTATAAAGTCCTTTTTGTTCTCCCGACAGGTATATTCGTGTGATACAGAGGGATACTACACTTCATTCCACATGGACAGTGGTCTGAAGACATTGAAGGAAGAAGAGGTTGGATCAGGCTTCTCACTTCCTCCAACACCATTGCATTCCACTTCAGCTCTGTCAAATTGTTCCTCAGGCAGAGGTTCTGCTAGCTTAGCACAGTTAACAGCTGAAAGTGAATATGAATTGTTTGGCAAGGGGTCAACATCAACAACTGCAAGTTCTGCTGGTACTGTGTGCACAACATTACTTGCAGACCATAGTCGAGGAGGAGACAATAGCCTTGGGAGTGATCGATCACTCAGCAAAGGACCAGCTGTGCCAGAGAGGAAAAGTTCTCTTGTAAGTAAAAATAAAATTTGTAAGTTTTCTTCTTATGCCATACCAATCTCGTTACTCACTCATGCATTTGCTGAACGTTTCAGAATGTACCTTGTTTGGCACAGGAGTGTCCTCCTTGTTCCACAGTTGTTGCACTTATTCATAACTCAAGCCAAGGTCACTCACCACGTTCAATTTCTGGAGATTCGCCAGATAGTGGACATAACACTTCAAGCTCACCAATTGAATCCATGAGCAGTCCTCAAGATGCCGAAACAGATGCTCTAATCTCCCCAATACCTAGTTTGACATCCGAGATGGAGTTTTCTGAATGTTCTGATTTTGAAGGTGAGAAACCACCTGGTGAATTGCCAAAGTGTTGTTCTGCCGGAGGCTTTTTGATGACAATTGTTTTATTTTATGTTCAGGAATGGATCGCATTGAGAGAATAAGAGTGAAGACGACCATCAATACCAGCAGAATACCATCGATGTGTGCTATTACTCCGCCTCAAAGTGATGATGAAACTAGTTTGCGTCAATTTTCTGGCAATGGCACAGCAGATCTTCCCCGAGCCCCTGCTCCCTTACCTCATAACATTCATCCTGAATCGAACCAGAATTTGAATAGGTGATTTGTTGTTTTATTATAAATCAATCGTACCAATTGTGACTTCCATTCATTAATGTTTTCTTTGCTTTTTCACTTTTTTTAGGAATGATAATCATAGCTTCAATGAGAATGGCGGCATGCATCTAATTGACAATAATGCCAACAAACATGGTGTTGACAATAATTGCAATGCAAGACCAACAATTCCACTAACTAATACTTCTGGAAGAAGTATCATTCATTGTGATAAAAATTCAGGATACGCAACTATCCAGACACTGGACAATGCTAGCAAAGAGAACAACATCAATCAGAAAGCCCGTCCACCATCACCAAGTGGTGGAACACTTTTTATAAATACCAAAGCAATTGAAGAAGAATCATCCTTCCACAACCAACCATTCATCAAAGATGCTCTGATTCCATTCACTAGCATTCTAAACAAATTTCGTAGAGCTACACATACAGGTCACAATAAAAGCGGATCTAAAGCTGTTGATTCTACGAAAGAAGACAACTTGGATGAATCTGGAGAATATGTCACTATAACAGATGTTAAGAACAACAACAAGCCTGACCCTGCATCTTTCCGTACTCCTCAGCGCTCTGAAATTCCAGAGCCTGCTCGTGAGTCAAATATCAATAAGACATGGGAAAGTCTGGAATATGTTTCCCTAAATGAAATTGGCACCAATCCCTCTGACCTTCACTCTCCGGATGTTCTCTCCGGCTCATCAAATGAGTCTTCTTTGGAGAGGAGAAAACGACAGGGTGCACGTGTCACCTTGGATTCAGAAGGCAAAGTTGTATACTCTTCTGATAGTCTGCGACGCAGGAAAGGAGCTCATACTACATTCGCTCCAGGCCAGTATGTGAAAGACCCGTCTGTGTCTCCATCACCAAGCCCTGTAGCAAACCATCGGACACCAAAAGCCATAATCCGACCGGTTCAGCAACAAACGCCTGTGAATGCTGATGATTCTTGGAGCAAATCTCCATTGAAATCTAACATTCGATCCTCCATGTCAGGCACATTGAGCACTAATATTAGTCCGGCATCAAATCCTGCAGCCCGTATTTTCAGCAATGAATTAAATAGTTCCAACAACAAAGCTATCAGAAGGTCACCTGCTCCTTCTGCAAATCCAACGGAATTGATGAATGAACCTCAAAAGGTTGTGTCCACAGGGCAGCTCTCAGATGCAACAAATCAGAAAAACAGGGTCATCATAAGAGCTGGGATATCATCCCCAACCAAGGAAGTTGCCAAGAGTCTGAGTCCCATGAGATCCCTTTCTCCACGATCAGTTGCAGTGCCAAGAGGAGCGTACGTCCAAATGCCTCCAGACCGTTCGGTGTTCAAGACTCAGTCAGCATACTTGCAAACTGATTTTGATGGCCCTGAGGATTCTGTCAAAGCACCAGAAGGTAAGATGTCAGACGTTACTAACAGAAATGCACTAACTTTAGGTAATGGCATTGATGGTGAGGCTTGCAAAAATCAAAAGGTAAAGAGAAGTGCTAGTTATCGCATGGCCAATTTTTCTCCCCTTATCTCTGTGTGTAACGTGGACATTGATAAAGATGAGGGTGGTGGTGATGTGGATCTAGGTGTGGCAGACCTTGGGGAGTCTCCAGCTAAGCTTTGCTTGAGCAGCTTGGATGGCCTGAGACCAGTCGTTACCAAATACAAGACTGAAAATGTGCAGAATGTGCTAAACCCTAACGCTGCTGGGCGACGTTTCTACGGCGCCCAGGTGATGGTTCGGCCTGCCATTCTGCTCTCTCTCTCATCAAACAGGGACAGGGTGACTAAGCCTGCCGATACGCAGAAAGCAAGAGTTCTCAGTAAGTCAGGTAATGACACTGAAATATGGTAATCACACCATGCTTTTCCAAAGAATTGGCTTTAGCTTTTGAAAGACGTATCCATCACCATCACCATTTTGGGTTGCCTTGTTGCCTTCTGTTTGATCAGCAATCCCAAACTCAATGTAGTTTCACTCCAGTACAAATTCAGATAAGGGGAATACAATTGGCTGAAGTTTTTGCAAAGAATGATTTTTTTTTTTAAATTTTAAGATATATTTTTGAAAACATCTTTTTGCATGCTTTTGATATGCAAGTCACAACTTAGTTAGTGCTAGATTTGAATAGTTTTGATTTAGATATTTAAATTCGATGTATACATTTGTATTTTGTGTGTGTGTGTTTGTTTGTTTGTCTGTCTGAGTATAAAACTGTGTAGTTGTTATGATCTTAATTCCCAGTTTTCTATATTTTGTTGCCTGTCCCATATTATTGTGTGTGATATAGTGTGATGCTTGTAATATATTTTGCTTCTGGCAGGTCGGTTTCGGTTGCTGACAGTAGGTTTTTGTAGTTTCTTCATTACAAGAAAGCTGAGTAGCATTCCATAATGGTACAGCAACATACTGTCAGAAATCTAATCCGGCCCAACTCATTTTGTTTCGTGTGATTTCTGTGCCATACTTTGTTTCAAATTTACAAAAACTACATGACTAAAATTACTTGCATTAATTTTTCTAAAGAACTTAAGAAAAGAAATGACAAGTTTCTTTAGCTGCAATGCCTAAGTGTAAATTATGTTGACATGTAAATATTGTCTTGCCTTGTGTACAGCTTTTTAACATTCTTCCCTGTCTCTTTGTCTCCCACCTCCCATTTGTATCAAAACCATATAGAGCACCTCTCATTGTTTTCATCACAACTTTACTTTCTTACTTACATTTTTCTGTTTGCAAATTATATTTGCAGTTCTTCCTTTCTAAATCTTATTTTTGTAAAAATATATTTATATACCATTACATCTAATGTAAATGTGTAAGTGGAAAATCTATTGTGAACCAACAGAAGTTTATTTATTTAATTTATTTGAGTATTTGATTTGTTCTATCAGCTGTATTGATTTCACAACTTGCTTCTCTTTTACTCATGAATTCCACAAGATTAGTAAACAGGAGAATAGAAAATTTAATGTGTTCTTTTTCTTTTTCCAACAAACTTTCAGTTGCATGTCTGCACATTTAATCGCCCCTTGCTGCACATAATTTGCAATGTTCACATCACAGGCTTGCGCCCTTACTTCTGCACATGTCACTGCTGCACAAATCACTGTATAGATGCATCTGGAACCAACATTGCCAATAAACCGTATGGTTTGCTGAAAAATTCACTATGTAACTACTGCATTCATCCCTGCAATAACTAATGGCATCCATGGCTATGTGACCCAATTCTGATTTTTTGTTTGTTTTGGAATGGGGATAACACCTACTAAAAATTTTTATCTTGGAGTTGAATCTTTAGCTATTTGTAGGGAAGTTGGGGGGTTTGTATGTGTGACATATTTGCTCTAGAAAGTTCAACTGTGGCCAGGAATGGTGGTTCATAAGAGTTAGGCAAGCTGTTAATCCAGAGTTTGCAGTTTGTGCCTTCAACATTACATTTCTTGCTCCCCATTTGGGTAAAATTTTTAGTACTTCCCATTAATTTTTAATGAACTGAGATTTTGGGCAATGTAGGGTAACTTCAAATAGCAGCTTCTCAAGGTGAGCTGCATGTCTCATACACTCCGCATGTATGGTGTCACGCACTTTAATATTGCATGTCGTTAAAATAAAGCTTTTTGTGTACCTTGCATTTACGCTATACTCACAAAAACAAATCTTCATATAAATTTGACTTGGTAAAAATTACAAATTACTTTTGTTAATTTTTTACTGGGGTACCTCTTACAAACAGCTTTCAGTTGTTGGAAAAATATTGTAAGTAGTTTAATTTGTATTTGTTTTTCTCTTTGCAGGCATTTCTCCCCCTAGACTCTTTAGGGATTCCCTCCATCATACATATCACCCTACACCAAGATCAACAGAAAAAATTGCTGCATCTCATCCTGTGTACCAAAATGTGTCCAGCCTGCACAGGGAGCCTTCAACCAACCAGGTTGCTGCCTTCTGTTATCAACAAAGGTTGCAAGGGGCTGGCACATCTCCTAGACTGAGGGCTGAGCATACAAACGTGATGGGTCAACCCATTGAAGCCCCTTTGCATTCCTCCACTCCAACCAAACCCATTTCCCTACAAACTTCCCCGCTAGCTGTGGGAAACACTTTTTCCCCTATAGAAAAAGATACATCCCAGCCAGGTAAGAGATTCTTGTTTACAGATAGTAAATTGGCCAGTATTAGAAAGGAAGAAACACAGGGTAGTGAAGAAACTTCAAAACAAGAGGGATCACTGTTCCGTGAGAATAGAAAATCTAGTCTTGTCTCTTTGCCGAAAACTACAATGACCTCTGAAGAGCTGTATGCCAAAATCCACAAGTCAAAAAAACAAATGAACATTAAATTAGAACCTGAAATTGTTCTCAGTCCAACACCATCTACTTGCGGAAGTCAGTCTCCTATCAGTTCAGAAAGATCAGCCAGTCCAAATGTACCGAAAGGGGATGCCAGGTCACGACACAGCTGGTCCCCAAATTCAAGTAAATATTTAGATATTGTAAGCACCTTTGATCCTCGAAGTAATACTCCATCCCCAAGCCCTCAGGTTCCTAAGGAACATGGTTTAACTCAAGTAACATCAACTAATGACTTCAAACGTCTTCTCCTCCAACATGGATCTGGAAGTGCAGTTAAAAGTAAACTCTCAGCTGTTGAGCGACTCAAGCAGGCAAAGCAAGCAGCAACGAATGTTTTCTCAAACAACACAGCAAAGTTACGGTTTGGTTCAAACAGCAATGGTGAAAGCACTAGTAATGTTCCAAAACTAATAAGTCATCCTCAGTCTTCAACTTTAAAAGCCCCTCCCCCTAAATCTTCTCTTCTGAAGCCTGGCCCTAAATATGCCTGGAGGTTTGCTGGACATAAAAATGATGTCCGTTCCACTCCAATAATGGAGGACCAGAGGGAGTATGAAAATGTGCCTGTTCCTGATGTATTGCAAATACAAACACTGTCTTCCTCGCCCATGCCTGCAAGAAACTTCGGAAGGTCTACCGTTCAAACCAGACAGTTTCCTCAGGATGGTACTCATAAGACTGCCCTCGCAATGCCCAAAACACCTGCTTCACTTTCTAGCCACCAACTGCAACCCCCTGCATTAGAGGTTACTCAATCAACACAATCTAAATTGCCACCCACCACAAAACAAGTTAAGGCTGGGATCAGTTCTTCAACAGCATTAGAGACAGCTTTGTAAAATGTATTGACATGAACTGCCATAAATGTAATGAGATTTTTTTAAAAAGATATAGATTGTCAATTGTTATTTTATTCAAGATGTTGCTTTGTACATATATTTATGACACTGTACATATATTTATTGTATTAAATTATATATTTCTCACATTTTTCCTAATGTTTCATTTTCCTGAGAACACCTGATCACTGAAACTTAAGCCCAAGGCAAAAGTTGTCACAAAAGGTCAGCATGACCACTAGTTGTCAAACATGGTTTCAGCTGCATCAACCAAAAACTTATTGGTAGCAGCATTTTGCATGAAGTGCATCCCAGTGATCCTAACAATTCCACATTGATGACCAGTGGCAAGATAAAAGAACCTCCCAATATTTGGATTCCAAGCTACCTAAAAGATTAAAAAAAAGGGCAAAACAGATGCAACAGTTACAGAAAAATAAATAGTTTGTGATTAAATGAATAGTAACTCTAGACAGACTCACTTTGTTAATGGAGGTGATAGGATAATAATCTGAGCAAGTTGGATGCATCTTTCCAGAAATGCGAACTCTTGATTTGGCTTCATCTGGTACTTTGTTCTTATTACTGTCACTCTAGATAGAAAAGAAAACAATGGAACTGAATAAGAAAGAAATACAGACACAGCATGGGGCAGTTTCAGCCTCATAGACAAAGAGAAGAATAGCTATTTTAGACCCAATCATTCTACTTACTCGCATTGTGTCATACACACACAGGCCATAATTTTTCTCAATATCTGCATAAAATTGTGGATTACGGTCCTGTAATATTGCTTCTGGAGTGTATAGAGAGGCAGCTACTACTTCTTCTCCATCTTCTTCTTGACCTTTCTTTGATTTCCCTTTCCCTTTAGAGTTGTTGGCCTTTTTACCCTTCCCTTTTCCCTTATTAGCTTGCTTTGATTCAGGTTTCCACTGCACCACTTCTCCCAATTCAGTTTCTCCGTCATCACCATAGGTACGCTTCTTGAGTAAAGTATACGTAGCCATCTAGAAAACAGAAAGTAACAATAAAATAATGAGTCTCAATTTTTTTAATACAAAAATCCAAATAAATAACCGGTTTAAACTTACAAGCCTCTTGTCTATAGCATTCTTCTCATTGTCTAATCCTCGCATCAGCTGACCAGAGAAAGTTACAACAATTTCACCAGCCTCAGAGCCTTGAGCAGTAGCGTTTATCCACTCATTGTAAGATAAGCACTTAAAGGAAAACAGCAAAATTTTAATGACATTGAAGGTAAGTATTTTTCAGGAGGAAGGAATGGAAATAGCCAACTTACCCATGCAACTGAGTTCTGGGTCAATAAAGGATATGGTTTGTACCCAAAATCACGGACAGGATGTAATGTTGAATTTGTATGTTCATGTCTGTAATAAAGCAATAGAGTGAATACCTCCAATAAAACAATAAAGAAAATAATAAAAATAAGAGAAAAACTTACTGGAAAGCATCATCATATGATGTTATGCTGGAAATCCAAAGATTCAACCAAACACCATCAGTTACATATCCCCTACGATGATGGGTCATAGGAGCAGATAAATCTTCCATGTCCCAAAATTTGACTCCTCGATCATGTGAGCCAGTCATGAAAAAGCGTCCATCATATTCAGGATTAAAGGAGAGGGCTACACAAAGTTTGTGACAGAGTAAATTATTAATTGCATTGTTTCAATAACAGACAAAGAGAGTCAAGTCCTGTTCTACATTAGATAATAGTAATTACCTGAAACAACAGTCAAGTGTGCCTGGAAGCACTGGAATGGTTTTAAGGTGCGCTGTTGGGGATCCCACAAAAGTGGAGGTAAAGTAAGCAGATCCCATATTGCAACCATACCATTACAGTAGCCAGCTGCTATTAACCTGTTAGCAGCAAGAGCAAACAACTTACTTATAATGAGCACAGTATATTTCTCTATACAACATTCATTCAAATGACTCTTACCCATGACCTTGTCCCTGATACCAAGTAACTCGAGTACATTGGGATGGTTCAGTGAAATTGGTAGTCAATGTTAAAGATGGTTTACACTGGTAAATAGGAAGTGCTCTAGGAGGGGAGGAAAGTCACTTAGAGAAAGACAAAGATATGAAGAACTTCATTAAGCACAAGACTTACTCATCTTGTTCATGAGATTTCAACTCATCTGGGAAAGGAATTGACAAGACATAGACATTTCCATTAGAACATGCTGCAGCAAGCAGGCCCATTCTTCTATAGTATTCATTATCATTTTGCGAAAATTTTGTTTCATAATCATAAGCCCCGCTAGGACACCATGCCATACTCCACACGGTTCCATAATTATGCCCTATACCTAGAGAAAATTTTGGACTTTGATATGAACTGAAAAAAGGGAGGAAAATAAATAAATAGGTTTACAACAAAAGTGACATGGTTTGTTCCTTCTGGGAAATTCAAAGGATATAATTTACCTAGATGATGAAAGGTTGCCACAGTCCCAAATTTGAATCACATTGGGAAAGGAATAACATTGCGGAACACAAAATGTGTCATCCATCTTGTGGTGTGTGCTGACTGCAAGATATTCTGATGGGGGTGTGTCATCGGATAAACAAATTTGCATGGGAATAGGACACCATTCCAAAGACCACACAGGACCACCAGTAAAAAAGGTGCTGACACCTGTAGTACAAATTTTTATTATTTAAAATGACAGAAAGAAAAAGAAAACAGTTATTATATCACAGTTAGTTCAGTTGCATAAGATATTTGAATATTGATATAACTTACCATCAATAATTTGCCCTTCAAATAAAGTAAAGTTGTGTGGAGGTTCAGAGATCCCATGAAGTGAAGACCCAAACTCTATGGGAAGAGACTGAGAGGTACTAGGAATGTAATTTTCAGCTCCTTCTCCAAGGAATTTACATTCTTTCTTCAGCAAACATAAATTTGGAAAAATATTTTCGACGTAATTTGTCATACGACTAAAAATTTTAAGAAATAAAAAATAAGAACCAAATACACATAAATATCTATAGATATTTTTTAAAACAGAGACAAGTGGTTCACTTACAAGTCAAAAGTCCATTTTAAGGCAGCAGGATAAATATCCAAATCTTTTCCCAGCCCTGTGACTGTGTTTTGAAGAAACCTCATTTTTGTGAAGGCACCTAATGCACAGACATATCAAAAATGTATAGGAGTACTGCTGACAGGATAAAGTGCTAAAAGCACATAGAAAGATTTAGAAACTCACGCTGTGGCCCTGAGGGCTTTGGCTTTGGAGTTTGGCGTTGATTATTCTGTCGTTTCATTGGGGGATGAGGAGTTTCTAGTTCAACGTCAGATGTTGAATCTCTATCACTCACAGAATCCACTTCAGCACTGGTACAACTCCCTTGAGAGTCATGTTCTAACTGAATATGTGAAATTATTTCAGATTCATCTCTTTGTTGCACAAGACACACATTACAAATAAATTTCTGAAACAACATGGACCAGATTGCAGAGATTAGTACAATGATGACAGGGAACATTACACCAGTTCAATTCTTTGTTCTTTGACACTAGGTCTAGCAACAAATTAAATGATGTGAATCCTTACCATGTCATGATCTTCCATGAACTCACAACTTGAAATATGAGTTTGGATTGAGTCTATGCTGTCAGCTCGAAACGGACAACCATTATAGACACACACAATGGAACCTGCCAAACTTATAAACCCTCTCCATGTTTGAAGAAGCCTTGGTGCTGAATCCCATCCTTTAACTTCCATATCTGAGTACAGTCGAGTTTGTTTAGAGTTAATTGCACTTCCATCTCCACTCAGAAATACACTCATCCTAGACTTTGCCCTGTAAATATAAATAAAGACTTGTTTGATTTGGAACAAAATGGTCATAAATAAACAAGGGCTTTGATCAACTTTAAGACCCACTTCGTTGCAGCAGCCCTCCTGTTTTTCTTGCCACTGCTTGAACCTGGTGTAGTGGGGCTAGCCAGACAGTTTGCAAGAGAGATTTCTGACTCTTCTTTCCGTTGGTGTATTAACATGTGGGAACGCAAGCTTACTGGCATGAATGACTTTCCACAAATTTCACAAGTGATGCGTAATGATTCTATTTCCTGAGCAGATGTAATGTAAAATCTTATATAAATAAATGTAAATAAAAACACAACATGTTCAAGAGCATTGACAAGGTACTGACCTCTTCTGATTTGCCGCACACCTGTTTGTGAGTGTAAAAACCAACAGCACTTTTCTTCTCTTCACCACAAAGTTCACAAGACAAAACCTTCCTCTTTTTACCTTTAAGGACTTTATTAAGAATGCTGAGAACAAATTTCTCGTTGTTCAGATCCTGTTGCAAACAAACATGTGGGAAGGATGAACTAACTTCACAAGATACACTAGCCAATTTCAATACTGAAATAATGATCGACTTAAATTTACCAATGGATTTGTGCCTTCAATCCAGGAAAGCATATTGTGCATCTCAGCATTATGGCCGATAAAGTCGACTTCCGCCATTTCCACCTTACAGACAGCACACTTTGAACATGGAAAAAGAAGCAACAGCATGAGAGTGGTGGTTTGAATGACAAAATAAAATAAATTCTAAACTCACGAATAGCTTGATATCACTGTCAACTTCAAAATCTGTGATTGTTTAAAAATTGTCGCACAACCACCCCTCACATGGGATGCTTACCTGAACGACATCAGCATCAGCTTCAACTTCATGCTTCACTACAGAATGCCCTCGCAAGTCCATAATGAAATAGAAGAGCAGCTCTGCAGCACGGAAACCCAAATCAACTAGAATTCATCAAACTTTGAAAGGAAACCTGTCAATAGAGCCACTTCATTTACAATTTTAACGAAGGATACACAAGAACAATTAAACGCATTACCACGACGAATTATGCAAATTAATAATACATTTAAAGATACATACCTAGACTACTAACTATTAATCAAAGGGTACATATCTGAAATAGAAATATTTGTGGAAGCACCGGCAACCGGTCGCTCTCGTAGGTTATGATCTTGTCAACAAACACGCAACGCCGCTCCACTCACGACGACCAACATTTCGGAACGCACTGTGTTTTGACAGCAACGTGTACACAACCTGCCGCTGATTTCTTCTTGATTGTTATTTAACTCTAACTTTCACAGGTTGAATAGAACAACCGTTTGGTTTTCAGTTCATAATATTTTGCTACGGTCCCAGAAGAAGAGATGGGTAAGACAGTTTCTATTATTAATCTAAACAACTATTTGTAGGTTATTGGTTGCACCGGCTAACTTAACTCTGCACAATAATAATTTTTTTAATTAATTTTTTTACAGCTGTGTCCACGGGAGCGTCGTTTCTCCTGTCACTGGTGATGGCAGTCCTGTTGTTTTCTGGAATGCAGATGTACAAGGGCTGGTTCGTGTCATCTCAGCTTCACACTCTGCTGGGCGGATGTGTTTCCTCAATTCTCTTCCTGCTGATTCTGACCGTATCCTTTATATTAAGTCCATCTAAAATGTGTGTCTCAAAAAATGTTTTTGGCAACAGCTATGTTAGGTCATTGATGTTTGCAAACTGTCGCCCATTCTGTATGTGACCTGCAATATACTTTTTCCTTAACTAACTACAGTCTTTGGGAAATCTCGAAAGCATCATGTTTGGGAAACATTTTCAAACAAAGCTGTTCCCTGAAAGTAAGTGCTTATTCCAAGGTGTTGTTTGCCAGCATCTTTATGATTTGACGCTGCTTAGTGCTTCCCTTCTTTTTCCAGTTTTAGGCTGCTTGTTTTTGGCACTCTTTGCGGCAGGATCTATTCACAGGGTTTGTGTGACCACAGGGTGAGTACTTGTGCAGTATTTCAAGTTGCTTGTGGACCATGAAGATTTTTTCATTCATTCATTCCTTCATTCATTCATTCATTGTCTTAGGTTTGCCTTTTCGTGCTTGGGGCTGTACTATGTCAACATCGTGGCTCAAAAGACCCACAGTACAACATCATCATCAACAGTGGCATCAGCTAAAAAGCGCAGATGAAGAGATGAAATCTTGAATCAACAGAAATGTGTTTTCAACATTAATTGTATTTGCATATTTTTCTTTACTCATGTTTTGCCTGTGTTTTCTGAATTTGTAAAAAAATACTCTTAATTAAAATATAAACATCACCACCACCATCTGGATTATTTGTTAATTTGTTGACATGATTCAAATTTCCATTTAACTCGCTTAATTTGAGAGTGGATGGCCCTTGAACGCCGCGCCGGTAGGCAACACTTCGTGCACCACCCACACAATCACTACAGTCCCTAATCCCTAGGTCGAACTGTCCTTGCACGATGGGTTACACCTCCGCAAAAAGCTACACCCTTGGGCCCATGCTCCCATGATTTGAGGTGAAACCACAAGTTCGTTAGGAACTACAGACCGATTTCGAGCGAGAGTCATTTAGGGTGCTCCATGTGCGCGAGACAGAGACAGACAGAGCGATGCAAATGACTTTCCGTATCAGCCGGCAGGTGAATACTTCTAGGGTCCCCGGGCTCAACTCCAGCCCGCGGGAGGCTAGCCGCGGGTGCGGCGGGGCGCTCCGGGTGGGGCGTGGAGGGCGTGGGGCTCAGCGGGCAGCCGCAGCACCGCGGCCGCCCCGCCCCGCCGGCTCCGCGCTCCGCCGCAGTCGGTCGGCAGCCAGTCGTGGCCGCTCGCTCGCCGCCCGCGGTCTAGCGGTCCTAGCAGACGACGCGCGCGCCGCGCCCCGCCCGCTCATGACTCGGTCCGCGTAGCGCCTCGACGTCTCGTCTCGCGGCCCCTGACAGTTGCGCCCCTCTGGCCGCCCCTCGCCATGGCCTGGGCCCCGCGGCCCGCCGGCCTGCTGCTGCTGGCCCTGGCCCTCCTCGCCCTGGCGGAGGCCGTCCAGAGCCACGGCCAGCACTGCTCGCACGTCCACCCCAAAGACGATGAGGTGAGTCCAGGGCAGCGAATGAATGCATCCCTACGGTGCCCTCACGCCCCCACACTGCAACCTCGACCGGCCCTCCAACCGCCAGCCCGGCACCTCCGAAGCCTTCGGTTGTGTGTCTGTTGCGGCCGGAGCGGACACCGGTCGATTATTCGACAGCGTTGATCGGGAGCGGGCAGCAGAAGTGCGCGCTGGTTAGGTTATGTCGTTTGTTTATGCGACAAGCAAATCAGGGTCAGCGGCTGTTTTGGGTTATTTTTAGTTGACGGGACGCGGAATGGTTCAGTGACCGACGCAAGCGTGGAGGATCACTTTTCATAATACCGTTGGAACCCTGTCACGTGCCGGTTCTGTAAAGGTTGTGTTATTCTTCAAAATATGCCACCAGAGAGGATTTGTGCGAATCTTACTGCAGCTCTTTCTGTTTTTCTGAATGGTTTCTTAGTTTCTCTTGTCTCTAAAATTCGTAGACTTTATCAGTAATTATTCTTTGAACTCGGTTCTACGGTAGAGTACAAGAAAACTTGGCGGTTGCAAATGTTTCTGAGCAGAACGCAGTACGAAGTGTGCAAATTAATTTTCTCACTAGTAAGAAAAAAGAAAAGGATTCTTGCTTAAAGTTTAGCTTATTTGTGTCCAGTGCCTCAATGTTCATGTCTATGCTTTATAATATTTAGTATATAATTGTGACAAGGGGGAGAGGAAATTTTTGAGACTTACAAACATTTGTTTAATATTTTTGCCAAAACCATTTAAGTTTCATGTTAAAAGAGGTAACAGTTTCTTCCTCAAAATTTTCGAAGATCAAATTTGATACGAGTGTCTGGGCAAACTAAATGAATCACAATCTAAAAAATAAAAAAAAATTTAAAAAAAAATATATAAAAATTATTAGTTGGACTTCATATTAAGATTTAAATGTGCCTAACGATTGTTGACTGGGGAGCCGCCTGGCCTGGGGTCATTCCAGGTGTCTTGCCGAACCGATGCCCTCCGAGTCCTTAGTCCTTCCTGCCCGTCTTCATTATACTGTACTAGCAGCGTCGCTCTGTCTCTCTCGCACCCCTCCGCATCGCCCCGTGAGTGCGAGAGAGACAGAGCGGCTAGCCTCTGCCCCGAAACGGGCATAAATCCAGCTTCCTATTGCCGGCTCATGGTCCTCACCGTCATCCTGATGGCGTGGCCGTGCTAGCCGGCCGTGGGGTCAGTCCTGTGCCATCTCCGGGACGCTCCGGGACTCCAGCGGAGTCAGGGTCGTCGGACGGCCCGGCCTCCGGACTCGCTCGGAAGGCCATAAAACGCCCCAAAGCCAACCAACAGCCAACAGGCCATCGCTAGCGACCACGATGACGGCAGGCGGCGGCGAGCTCACCTGCAGACTGAATCCGGGACTCGTTTTCGTCGCTCTGTCTCTCTCGCACTCACGGGGCGTGTGTCCCCGCGGTCGCGCCGCCGCGAATCACAGTGTAGTACCCGAGTACCAGAGCAGCACCGGGCAGACGGAGGGAATATTGAGAAAGCACTTGACACTATTTCAAATAGCGACAGTTCCCATTCTCCGGCCGGCCTGGCTATGCTGGCTGCTCGCTGGAGCCGCCCAGAGGGCCGCTCCGTCTCTCTCGCACTCACGGGGCGGGCCGCAGGGGTGCGAGAGAGACAGAGCGCTGTGGGTGGAGTCGTGTTGAGCGGCAGGCTGTAATGTCAAAGGTCGCGCGGTCGGGCAGGGCAGGACCGACGCCCCCCCCCCCCTTTCCTTGCCCATTTGTGTGCCATACGAGATGCTATCGCCGGGCGCGCCGATTATTGCAGTGTGCCGTTCACACGTGATACTCTTGATCGTTATGCGTGTTTCGCGAGAGCCTCGGCAGACTCCTTTTGGCGCCGCGGCCGAGTCGCTCTGTCTCTCTCGCACTCATGGGGCGCCCCGTGAAGGCGCGAGAGAGACAGCGCGACGAAGACGACTCTGCGGACCTTGGTGACGACGAGGACGACGCCGTGGTGTCGCTGTGTCGCGGCGCAGGTGTCGCTCTGGGCTGTAAACCCCGAGACTACGAGTCACCCAGACACTGAGTCACGGCCAGGCCGATTCCGAGCCGAGCCGCTCGCTCTGTCTCTCTCGCACTCGAGGGGTGTGCCGCATGGGTGCGAGAGAGACAGAGCGACTGTCGGTGCGTCAGTCTGTTGGCTTCACGAAAACGCAATAAGCTGGCGGGGCCCTTTTCCATTTTCTTTTTCGGGTGTCGCGGCGTCGCGGATTCTTGGAAGTGACGTTGCGTGTAGTGGCCCGGGCTGGTCAGGGCTAGTCAGCGGTTCACATAATTGCCCCCGCCCACGCCGCCGGCTGTGTACGCACTGCCAGTCTCAGCCGAACGATTCCGAGAGTCGCTCTGTCTCTCTCGCACTCACGGGGCGTCCCGTGGGTGCGAGAGAGACAGAGCGACGACTCTCGGAATGAGTGCGCTGCTGGGTACACTGTGGGTACCACGCGGTCAATGCCGTCGCAGCGGTGGGCGCGTTGCGCGTTTCGCAAGGCGATTTGGCCGCCGCGGCGCACTGGAGCGGTCGCTCTGTCTCTCTCGCACCCACACGGGGCGCCCCGTGAGTGCGAGAGAGGCAGCTGCGCCGCTGCTGAACCACACACGGTCGAGCACGCTGGAGCGAGTAGCGAGTACCCTACCTTGATTTACTTTCCGACGCATTCATAAACAGAGCCCCCCACGCAGAGGGGGCGCCCCGCGGCGCGCAGTGGGCCAGAAGACCGGCGCGGGCGCCTGCTGCCTCACGACGTCGGACACTGCCTGTCCTTTGAGAAAAACGAAAGGCATTGTCTCCTGGAAAACGACGACGATATGAACGAGCGGCCGAGGAAGCTTTCGGAGGGCCTTTTGATGCCTGCTTCGGTTTCCTTCGGCGGCAGTGCGCGTCCTCGCCGTCCTCGGCTTTCTCCCATAAAACGATGGGTAAAGTCCGCGACCGCACCGCACGGCACCGCACGGCCGGGGCACCGACCAGCAAGACGAGCAGCGTGCCTTCGCGTACGCTTCGGTTGTTTCCGACTTTTCTTTGGCAGTGTCGCACACACGTGGAGCGGCGACGGTGTGTGTGTGTGGTGTCTGTTAGTAGCAAGAGTTATTAGTCTTGGTGTGGGGGACTTCCTGTATTACCGAGCGCATAGTTAGTGAGACGGCGGGTCGCGTGAGAGCGCCTGCGAGGTAGGCCACCGTCTCCACGCCCGTGTGTGACCTACCTCGCAGGCGCTAAAGGCAGAGCCGGTATTCGCAGCGTTCTGCGCCACAACGCCCTGGCCGCAAGGGAGGCGCGTTCGGCAAGGCCCTGCCAGCAAGGGTCAGCACTGCGTGCGTGGACACTGCGTGGACGCTGCGTGGACACCGCGGCGCGTGCTGCGCCGAGTCGCTCTGTCTCTGTCGCACCCACACGGAGCGCCCCGGGCGCCCTGCGAGTGCGAGCGAGACGCGGATAGACTGACCCCGATAATTGAGCAGAGGCTCGCAGTTCGGAGAGCCTGACCAGCCTGACCGCCAGCCAAGGCCCTGCCAAGGCCCTGGTGCTGACGAGGCAGAGGCAGTACACTGACTTCTCGCTCCACTTCGAGTGCACGCGCAGAGCACGCAGAGGCTGTTGGCTTTTCTTCCAAGTTTCGCACCAAACTCAACGGAGTGTGATAATGCGTGCGTGTGTGTGGTGTGCGTGCGTGCGTGCGGAAAGAAGCTGCGCGCGCGGGAAAAGTTTAGCGGAAGTGACTTGGGCCTTCCCTGCCCGTCCCTCGGCCCGGCCCTGTCTCTCTCGCTCTCGTTGCCGCCCTGCCTCGGTGCGCTTGCTCCGCTGTTCGCTCGCGCTCTGTCTGTCAGCAAAAGTGAATGGCAGGTTGCTTTGGGCTGCGCGTTGCTCCGCGTTGCTCCGGCAAGGCGGCCTTGGCGCACCTCGGCGTGGCCTGGGCAAGCCGCGCGCGGTTCCGCGTCGTCAACCCGACAACCCGACCGCGCGCCGCGGTTCGCGCTTCGCGTCTGCGGTTTTCGACTCGAATCGAACAAACGGGACGACGACGGCATGATGGTGCGGCGATGTCTCGGCGATGCGATGCGATGCCGTGGCGGGGCGGGGCGGGGTGACCCCGACCTTCCAGTGTCCCTGAGGGTCGCGGTCTTACGCGGCGGGGTGGGCAGGGGATCAAGGCGCCGGCTTTATAACCGCCGTGTGTGTGTATCTGTTTGCATGTCTGTCTGTCTGTCTGTCCACCCCGCCCGCAGTGCCGGGCCCCGGGGGCCGCTGTGTGGGCGCTGTGCCGCGGTGCTGGGGGGTTTCGAATTTCGCCAACGCGCACAGTGGGCCGAAAACGGTGGAGGAGAAGGAAAGGCAGCTCGGAACTCGAGAATATATGAAAATCACACGGGAAGTGCGCGGCGGGCGGCGCGGCCTCGGTGTTGCAATGATTATTGGATAACTTTGACTCGCCCCTCGCACGCATCATCGCGTGCTACTTCACCCCGAAAACGGCTTGCCCGACACAACACATGTTGCGCTCTAGTCCTTCAAATTCTGTAAATTAAATAAAAGTATCTTCAATCTAACACACCGATATATTTAAGCGCAGCAATTTTTCTTCTTTTCAGCAGCGAACGCGGATGTGTGTGTGTGTGTGTGTGTCTCTGCGTGCGTGGCTGCGTGTGCGGTCGGTTCAATGCCACGCCGTTGTTATTACTATATTATTAGATTAGCGGCTGATGGGCCGGTCGTGAGGTTGCGAGGCTGCGGCTGCGGCAGACTCACTCCGAGAGTCGTCGCTCTGTCTCTCTCGCACTCGCGGGGCGTCCCGCGTGGGTGCGAGAGAGACGCCGCGACTCTCGGAGTGAGTCCGCCGAGGCGAGGGTGGCTGGGCCGATATGCTAATTGCACCGCCTTTTGTTTGGCACGGAGAAGACGCCGAAGAAGATGCTAATTAACGAGCCATCTGGCCGACCGGCCGAAGGGCAGCGCACAGTGGG